GGTTTTGTAACTTTGGGGCAATCACCGGGGGATTGGGAGTTCTAGTCCTACTTTAGGCATGAAAGCTAGCTGGGTGCCTTTTTGAAGAGGTGGGCGAAGCACCTTTGAGTCACCAACTTTCAGGAGAAGGAACGACATATCACAATTTTCTACCAGAGCCTCTTTCAAAGAGATGTTTTGTGCTTCCTTCCCAGGACTACTGGAGACCAGATTTAACAGTGACTGGGTAAATCCAGCAAGCACCTGTTAAGGAATGTTCCAAAGGTGCTTTTTCAGGAGGCAACTGGACTTTCTGATTTTACTTCTGAAGATGTTTCACTTCTCATCCAAGGAGCTTCTTCAGCTCTAACTTGGATGGTGGGGATTGGAAGGATTTATATTCCTTGCAGACAGCTGGTCATTTGCATCCTTTTAGCAAGTGATTACTGGGGGTTTATCTGTGGCATCAGGGTTACCTGAGGGGGCCAAATGGATGTGGAGCCTTCCTGGAACTATTGAAAGGACTGTGTTGTAGATTTGAGATAGATGATGCTGTATCCCCCCCTCTCTGTTGAGAGGGCGCTATTCACTTTGGACGCAGATGGCCTCTTTGACCCCTTTTCAAACCAGTGGTCATCTCTGTCCAAAATGTGGACTGTGCTGTCTTCAAAAGAGTAGCCTGTGTCTTTTAAATGCAGATGGACTGCCGAATCTAAATCCTGATGGGTTTGTTCTCCTATGTTGTGCCGTGTGTTTATGAAATGGCTGTTTTGTTTCCCCAGCGTACAGATCTGCACATGGTTCACTGCATTGTGCTGCATAGATCACGTTGCTCAGTTTGTGTCTGGGTGTTTTATTTGTGGGATGGACAAACTTCTGTCTTAAGTGTATTCTTGTGTGACCTGGATGACTGAGAATCTCCAGAGACTGTTAAGGAATGTTTATTTCGAGAGGCCACAAATGCCCCAATAAATTGGGTCGGTTAAACCCACGACACAACCCTTTCAAGCAGCTTCCAAATCAAGAGAGGACTTGAAAAGAGTATATCCTAAAATAAACAAGCCTATAACTGTCCTCTGCTTGTGGGTGGAGCTGCTTGTCCTGGCCTGTCCAGAAAGGTAAACAGGACGCTGCCCATAACGTGGCAATTATGGGGTCACTTGAGCCACACAACAGCTGAAAGGTTTTAGGTTACACAGAAGCCTGCAAGATTTCTGAGAAGCAACTTAAATCTGCTTGTGAAATGCTGGCCAGAAACTAAGTGAGGCACAACGTCAACAACAACATCAAAAAAACACCAGGAATTCCTTTCTGGAAACGGACAATTCCTGAAAACCAGCAGCTGGTTTAAGTTGGGAGTTTTGCTGGAATCAAATGACCAGTCAGATTCTCTACACCGAAATTTCCACTCTTGAAAAGCAAACTCAGTTCCGAGGACAAACCACGGATAATCATCTCTTGAATGTATGTATGTTTTGTTGGTTTTGGTTATCTGAAGAAGTGATTTGAAGCTTCTCAATCAGACCAATGCTGTCATGGCGAACCTATGGCACATGTGCCACAGGTGGCACACAGAGCCATTTGTGCGAGCATCAGCCAAACTTACCTGCACTGCACATGTGTGCGCCTCCCAGCTGATTTCCGGCCTGTTTGAGGCCTTTTTTGGCCTCCCTGAGGCTCAAGGGAAGCCTCTGCAGCCTCGGGAGGCCGAAAAACGGGCCTTCCGGAAATACCAGAAGTGCCTGTTTTCAGCCTCCGGAGGCCATTTTCACCCTCCTGGGGGCTTGAGAGAAAACCTCTGCAGCCTTTGGAGGCTGAAAAACGGGCCTGTTTTGGCACTTCCGGTATTTCAGCCTACAAAGGCTGCAGAGGCTTCCCTTGAGCCTCTGGGAGGATGAAAATGGCCTCAAACGGGCCAAAAATCAGCTGGGAGGCACGCGCATGCACAGTGCAGGCAAAGAGACGCGGGGGGGGTGTTGCGCCGTGCATGCGCAGGGAGGACAAGGCTCATTGCCTTCTGGGTTCTGGCACGCGAAAGCGCGTGCACCAGTGCGCGTTCAGTTTTCGGCATGGGAGCCGAAAAAGGTTAGCCACCACTGGACCAATGCAACACCTGTGGGCACTTTCAGCCATCATCTGCACAAGGAACAACAATACAGTCAGGTAACCCTTGACTCACAAGCACAACTGAGCCCCAAATTTACGTTGTTAAGCGAGTTGGGCCCCGTTTAATGACTTTTCTTGCCCCGTTTGTCAAATGAATTCCAGCAGTTGTTACGTTAGTGACACGGTTGTTAAGTGAATCTGACTATACTTGTCAGAAGGCTGCAAAAGGGGATCGCGTGACGTTGGGACACAGCGACGGTCATAAATATGAGTGGTTTTGCCAAGCTGCTGAATATAAATCACGTGATTATCGGGATTGCTGCAACGGCCATAAGTGTGAAAAATGGTCATGTCACTATTTTTCAGTGCCAGTGTAACTACGAATGGTCACTAAATGAATTATTGTAAGTCAAGGACTACCTGTACAGTTAATCCTTGACTCACAAGCACAAAGGAGCTTCAAATTTCTGCTAAGCTAGACTGTCGTTAAGTGGGTTTTGCCCCATTTTACGACCTTCCTTGCCATAGTTGTTAAGCGAATCACTGCAGTTCTTCAGTGCAGTTTTTGAGGGAATTTGGCCTCCCCCTTGATTTTTGTTTGTCAGTAGGTCGCAAAAGGGGATCACGAGACCCCAGGATATTGCAACCGTCATAACTATGCGTCAACTGCCTCCAAATTTTGACCCCGTGACTATGGGGATGCTGCAACGGTCGTGAAAAATGGACATAAATCGCATTTTAGTGCCATTGTAAACTTAGAGTGGTCACTAAACGAATGGTTGTAAGTTGAGGAATACCTGTAGCTGTATTTTCCATACAAGTACGTTTGTTTTTTTTAAGTGCAGATTTTCAGAAAGTTGTGATAGCACAGATTTTAGGAGATCTATCTAGTCTCCACTTAAATTCTCTGAAAAATTATATCTGTCAACTCATAAAATATTTCTCTGGTCTTTTAGAGTTGTCAGCAGAAAAGGAGTGGCGGGAGCAGTGCATTCCTTAAATGCTTCAGATAATTGCTAGGCAGCCGAAGCTGTTGGTGTGCAAGATTATTACTGGAGAGCATGATTGATGACTCTTGGCTATGGAGGTGTCCCATTGGAGAATCTACATCCAGGGGGTGGGGGCGGAAGACCAGGGTCAAGGGGGAAATGAATGATGTATCTCAGAGTCGACTGCACCCAGGTAGCACCTGCATGTTCACGCCTAATAAATCTTCTTTAAACTCTGAGAGATGCGGCTAGAGACTCGTGATTTAAATGGGGGTGGATGCTGGAGCCCTGACAATATCTGAACAATTGCCCCAGGATTAAACTTAGCCAAATAACAGTCAAGAGAGGTTAAAAGTGTTTAAAAGTCAGGCAACGTATTCTGCAACAGTCTTTTCAAAGAGAACTGGCACGGCACAATAACAAAAAACAAAAACAAAATCTAGACTTACATCTTCGTTCCAGTCTTCGGCCGTCCATTCTTCTATTGAATTCTTCCATGCTCCTGTAGAACAAAGGGCTGGTCAGAAAAACTGCTCATTCCTTAAGGAAAAGTGGTACCTTGTTAAAATTACAATTCCCAAGCAGCCAAACCCAAAATGGACAACGGTTAGGGATGTTAGGGGTCATAGAAATGGCGGTAAACTTTAGAGGAAACCCTTCCATACTACCACCTCTTACAATGTTAGACAACACAGTATCAACAGTGGAGACCTTCAAATTTCTAGGTTCTATTATATCACATGACCTACAATGGACACCTAACATCAAAAATATCATCAAAAAAGCACAACAAAGAATGTTCTTTCTGCGCCAACTCAGGAAGCTCAAACTGCCCAGGGAGCTGCTGATCCAGTTCTACAGAGGAATCATTGAGTCTGTCATCTGCACCTCTATGACTGTCTGGTTTGGTTCTGCAACCCAACAGGACAGACACAGACTTCAGAGGAGAATTAGGACTGCAGAAAAAACAATGGCTACCAACCTGCCTTCAATCGAGGACCCGTATCCTGCACGAGTCAAAAAGAGGGCTGTGAAAATGTTTACAGACCCCTCCCATTCTGGACACAAACTGTTTCAACTCCTTCCCTCAAAACGATGCTATAGAGCCCTGCACATCAGAACAACTAGACACAAGGACACATTTTTCCAGAACGCCATCACTCTGCTAAAAAAATAATTCCCTCAACACTGTCCAACTATTTACAAATCTGCATTACTATCGCTATTAATCTCATCACACCTTATCACCCATCCCTTTCCACTTGTGACTGTAGGACTGTGACTTTGTTGCTTGCATCCTTACGATTTATACTGACTGTTTCCTAGTATGATTTGACGGCTTATTGTACCTTATGACCATCATTAAGTATTGTACCTGATGATTCTTGACTCTTGACGAATTTATCTTTTCTTTTTATGTACATGTCCAATCCCACTTGGCCAATAAAGAATCCTATTCTATTCTATTCTATTCTATTCTATTCTATTCTTTCTTTATTTCTTTCCTTTTCTTTCTTTCTTTCTTTCTATCTATCTATCTGATTTGATTGCTTATTGTACCCTATGGCTATCATTAAGTGTTGTACCTGATGATTCTTGACTCTTGACGATTGTATCTTTTCTTTTCTGTACACTGACAGCATTTGCATCAAGACAAATTCCTTGTGTGTCCAATCACACTTGGTCAATAAAAGAATTATAATTCTAATTTTAGTCGAGGGCCATAAATTTTCCATGTCTTGGATTACAGATGTGATTACATCTGACAGGTTAAAACATGTAGGATTAAAACTATGGTCAGCCAAGCAATATTACAACATTACATTAGACAAAGAAGGTCATAATGATTCTGCCCTCACAGAAGCCAAAAATCCAAACTTTTTTTTGTTTTTTTGGACAAAATCTTATCCACAGAAAACAGCCTGAGCTGCATGTAAAACCTGTAAAACCAACTCTCAGCTGCTCCGTGCCCTACCCACCACAGAGATGTAAGTGGGAGAACCGAGGTTAGGAAGGAACATCTTCCTTCTCCGATTGTTTGAAAAAAATTTCTGCTGTGATCCAGGAGGTGCTTATTATAGCAAATTATCACGCTAATAAAAATGATAAAAACGTATGAAGGAAGTGGGAAAGGGTGCACTGAACCACACACAGTTCAAAAGAGCCAGTTTGGCCTAATGGTTAAGGCATCAGGCTAGAAACTGGGAGGACGTGAGTTCTAGCCCAGTGGTCACCAACCAGTGGGCTGGGGAGCACTGGTGATCCATGAGAAAAATTTGGTGGTCCGCAGAGAAATATCACCCCCAAAGCAATTAATCCAGGTTGCGTGGGAACACAAGGCTGTGCTGCCCACATGGCCCACGGGAACACAAGGCTTGCGTCGCTTGCATTGCGAACAACACAAGGTAGTGAGGGGAAGGGGGAAACTCGCCCCACGCGCCTGGCCTGGCCACCGGGCTCCTTCTTTCCATTTCTTCTGCCTTTTGGCTGGACGCAAGGAAAGCAGCCAAAGTCTTTCTTTCTCTCCCCCAGACTCCCCCAGAAATGAGTCTTGGGGACCCTGCAAGGCCTCCTGTTCCAAGAGGCTGCACCAGCAAAGACTCGTTTCTGGCAGAGTTTGGGGGAGAGGAAGAAAGACTTCGGCTGCTTCTGCTGCTTTCCTTGCACGAAGCCAAAAGTCTCTCTTTCCTCTCCCCGCTCCCGCCGAGAACAGAGCTAAAGATGGTATCCTGCGATCCCAAATAAAGAATGATTTAAATAAATAAATTCAAATAAATAAATTCAAATCAAGAAGGTAGGAAAATGGGGTGGGGGCGGTTTCCTGCAGACTTTTTGGGGAATTTTCCCAGGGTCTCTGGTCCGCCGGATTTAAAATGATGAGCTTGGTGGTTCCTGAGGTCCAAAAGGTTGGTGACCCCGGAGTCTAGCCCACACGGCCAACTTCTTAAAACAGCCTTCCCAGCCTGCTACTGTGATAAATCATTTTTAAACTGCAAATTAACATCTCATGGCAGAGACAGAAGAGCCAAGTAAAGTTCAGAGCGAGGACACCTTCGTTTTGTGTCACTGGACAAAGTCTCCAGCAGTCAAAAAGATTTTTTTCCGCCAAAATTAAACGTTTCATGTTTAGAAATCATTTCATAGGTGGCCGTTGATTGTGTGTGTGTGTGTGTGTGTGTGTGTGTGTTCAGGGTTTTTATAAAATTTATTTTCTTACTTGGAAGTCGTGATACATATTGGGTAGTGAGGATTATCGTGACGCAAAGACATTGAAAGAGATTTCAAGGAAAGGTGTTTTAAAATTACTTAGGTAGATTTTATAGAGTATGGGAAACTGGGCCATTGAAGATATTAAAATGTTTTCCTAAAAGAGGAATATTCCCACCCAGGGAAAATATGAACTATGGGTTCCCAAAAACAAAAGGGTTTTTTTTTCCCTTCGGTGCTTCCAAACCACTGGCAACTTTTCCAGCACTCATGAGAATTCAAAAAGAATGACAACAAATTTACCTGGACTTTACATGTAGAGGACCCAGACTGTTGGGGGCAATATGCTGACTCTGTAAACCGCTTAGAAAGGCCTATAAAGCACTGTAAAGTGGTATATAAGTCTAAGTGCTCTTGCTATTGCTAGATGACATTTATGTACAAGTGAGTTTCTTGGGGGCTATTCCGACCCCAAGCCACCTTAAACTAAAAAGAGCAGAGCCTGGCATGCTTCCATTGGTTTGCAAACCAGGAAATCTTAACTATGGAGCTATTGTAAAAAACTTATCTTGACATCCGTCCTGCAAGTATGTTCAGACTGTGTTTATTTTGCATTTCGGAGCGTCTCTTCTGTTCTAAGTTTAGACTAAATAAGTTAACAGAGGAAAGAAATTTTTTTAAAAATGGGTGCTGCGGTAGCAGGTGGAAAGGTTCAAACGAGCCAGCCTTCCAAGGTTGCCACAAAGAAGAGGGGGTCCATTTATTTTCCAAAACACCAGAGCGCAGGACAAGAAGCAACGGATGGAAACTAAGGAAAGAAGAAATCTGGGATTAAGGAGAAACTTTCTAATTGTCCTCACTTCCTAAGAGTGAGAACAATTAACCAGTGGAATAGCTTGCCTCCAAAAGTTGTGGGTGCTCTTAACACTGGAGGTTCCTAAGAAGAGACTGGGCAACTATTTGTCTGAAATGGTATAGGGTTTCCTGCCTGAGTAGGGGGTTGGACTAGAAGACCTCCAAGGTCCCTTCTAACTGTGTTTTTCTGTCTCTTCTTTGTGACACAGATCAGAGTATGATATGATATGAGACAGCAGTGTGTGGTGGCATCCAAAAAAGCTAACGTGATCCTAAGTTGCATTAACAAAGAGATATAATCAAGATCTAGTGAGGTACTAATACCACTCTATAAAGCCTTAGTAAGGCCACACCTAGAGTAGTGCATCCACTTTGGTCACCACACTATTAAAAAGATGTTGAGACTCTGGAAAGGGTGCAGAGAAGAGCAACCAGGATGATGAGGGGACTGGAGGCTAAAACATACGATGAACGGTTGCAGGAACTGGGCCTGGCTAGTCTAGGGAAGAGAAGGACCAGGAGGGACAGGAGAGCAGTCTTCCAATATTTGAGGGGCTGCCACGGAGAGGAAGGCGGTCAACCTGTTTTCCAAAGCATCAAAAGGCCAGAGAAGGAATAATGGTTGAAAACTGAACAAGGAGAGATTCAGCCTGGAAATAAGGAGAAATTTTCTGACAGTGAGAACAATCAACCAACGGAACAGAAGTTGCCCTCGGAAGTTGTGGGAGCGCCATCACTTGAGACTTTCAAGGAAAAGACTGGACTGCCATTTGTCAGAAATGGTGTAGGGTCCCCTGCTTGGGGAGGGTTGGACTAGATGACCTGCAAGGTCCCTCCCAACTCTGTTAATCTATCTATCTACCTAAGAGTAAGAAAGAAAAATTCACAAGCAGCTTCGATAGAAAAGATCACAGTAGTGCCGAGTTTGGCATAAAGTGGTTGCAACGGCCTTCCCCTTTTGTGGGGAGAAGTCAGGATAAGTGGTGGGTAGAAAACCAAGTTCTTAGTTCCACATCATTCTCATTCTCGTTCTCTCTCTCCCCCTTCCTCTGTTTGTTTCACTCTCTCTCTCTCTCTCTCTCTCACACACACACACAAACACACACACACACACACACACCCCAATGGAAAACTCTTTTGAGGTTCTCTGAGCTTGCTTGTTTTTCTTGCAGACCTTTCGTGACCCAAACTGAGTAACATCTTCAGCACGGATGACGTTAGCCTAGTTTGGGTCACAAAACGTCTGCAAGAGAAAAACAAGCAAGCTCAGAGGGCACCAAGGAAAACCCTCCTGTCAACCCCGAGCTACAAATATTCCCCTTTACTGAAAACTGCTTTGCGGGTAAGATTACAGACGGCTCGTACGCCGCCTTTCCTTCAGCTAGTCTTAGCAAAAGATGCACGTTCTGCTCTTATCGGGGGAAACGCGCAGCCATTATCGCCTGCAATGACTGGCAATTTGGGGGAGGCTTGTGATCTGCAACCTTGCGGTTCCCTCACCTGTTCCTTCCGCTGCATCGTTTTCTCCCAGTTCCCAAGACTCCTGTTTTGCTCCAAAGCCGTCAGTGGCAGAGGAATCGGTGTAATCTGCAGGGTTAAATGTCCTACAGGTCAAGAGAGGTGGAGAAAGTCAGAACTCTTAGAAAAAGCGAGGCTTCGGTAATTGTCTGGTCAGTCTAGCCCACCATTTCCCCTTCCAACCTAGAGAGGCCTCAAAGGTTCTTGGTGCTCTTGTGAACTTGCTTGTTTTCTTGCAGATGTTTTATGACCCAACTAGAGAACATCGTCAGTGTTAGAAGGTAAAGGAGGAGGACTGTGGGGTCCTTGATTCTCTGAGCTTGTTGGTTTCCTTGCAGACGTTGTATTACCTATCTAGGTAACATGATCAGTGCTAAAAGGGAATGGAGTTTGGGAGGAGGAGGGGGGAAGAGGACTGTGGGGTCCTTGGTGCTCTCTAAAGTTGGTTGTTGGTTGCAGACATTTTATTACCCAACTAGGTAACATCATCAGTGCTAGAAAGGAGTGGGTTTTGCTCTCAATTTATATTGCCCTGTCAGTGCTGGTCAGGGAGGTCTTGGGAGGGTTTTGTTTGGGCTGTTTAAGAGGGACGCGGTGGATCAGTGCTAAGACGCTCAGCTTGTCGATCAGAAAGGTCGGCAGGTCGGCGGTTCAAATCCCTAGCGCCACATAACGGAGTGAGCTCCCGTTACTTGTCCCAGCAGCTTCTGCCAACCTAGCAGTTCGAAAACACTAAAAACTGCAAGTAGAAAAATAGGGACCCCTTTGGTGGGAAGGGAACAGAGTTCTGTGCACCTTTGGTGTTTGGTCATGCCAGCGACCTGACCACGGAAACGTCTTCGGACAGCGCCGGCTCTTCGGCTTTGTAAGAGAGATGAGCACCACCCCCTAGAGCTGGAAACAACTAGCACATATATGCGAGGGGAACCTTTACCTTTACTGTTAGCTTGCTTGGCAGTTCCTTGACTGGAACATGGTTTATTTCTCGATTGTTGGACTAATGTTCATCTTGAAATGTTAATCTACGCTCAGCTGAGTATTGACCGCTAGTAGGAAGGTGTTTTGGTCTTTCAGATCCCTTTTTGATGTGTGGATTGTCTCTTTTCCACAGTATGTAGATGTTGGTTTATGTCCATGTGTCTATTGATGGACGATTTGTTGGACTGCCTGGCTTCCAAGAATTGTCTAGCATTTTGGGACTTGGCTTGGTCTAGGATGGTCCTAGTTTCCCAGTTGAAACTATGGTTGAGTCTACTGTGAAATTACGAGTTTTCATCCTGTCTTCTGACTGCTAGTTGTGTTAATGGATGCACTCTGCTAATCTTCTGTTTGTTCTACATTACCAGAATTACCAGAGTAACAAGAGTTGGAAGATCTTCTAGTCCAACCCGTCCACTCAAGCAGGAGACCATTTCAGACCAGTGGCTTTCCACTAGGGTTGGTCCCAGTCTTTCCACCCTATGTTGTAGGTGGCTCCTGTTTTCAGTCTTTCAGTTCAATCTTTCAAACCCTCCACTACCTCTGGGGATTGAAGCCAAGATCTCACGGGCTTTCTGGAGGAACCCAGATGGGTGGAAGGGCCACCAAGATTGGCCACATCCAGGAACTCTTCATGTTTAGCATCCACAGGATGAATAGGGAAAAAAGAAAAACTGTTTTGATTTAACCCAAAGGTATGGTTTTTTTTTTTTTTCAAGAGGCAACCGGATTTTATGGTTTTTCTTGGAAGGAGTTTCACTTCTCTTCCAAGAAGCTTCTTCTGCTCTGACTGGACAGTGGGAAAGGGAAAGATTTATACTTCTTGCAGACAGCTGGTCATTCGCACCCTTTTGGTGGGTTGTTGAGATCACCTGGAGGTTTGTCTGTGTCCACAGGGTCCCCTGAGTGGTGCAAATGAATGTGGAGCCTTCTGGGAACTGCTGAAAGGACTGTATTGTAGATTGGAATAGATGACGTCCTATCCCTCCCACTCTCCCAAGAGAACGCTGATCAGTTTTGACATAGATGGCTTCTTTGACCCCTCTTTCAAACCAGCAGTCATTTCTGTCCAAAATATCGACTTTGCTGTCTTCAAAAGAGTGGCCTTTGTCTTTTAAATGCAGATGGACTGCTGAATCTGGTCCTGATGGGTTTGTTTTCCTATGTTGTGCCAGGCGCTTATGAAGTGATTCTTTTAATTTAATTGCCGGTATGGATCTGAAAAGCATTTCCTTTTGAACTGGTCTGGTCCTTTCCAAAATGCTTGAAATGGGATATTTCACAACATGGAATGTTTTGTGGGTCTTCATACTCACAACTGTCTAAAGCAACACGCCCATAAAGTGGATCAAGGCATAGATCAGTGGGGCAATATTGATACTTCATATGAAATTTCCAGGTTGAAAGGGGGGAATTGGAAAACTTTGCGTGGGTGTGGAGACAGAGGGAGAAAAACAACCTGTAGAGTAACTCAGCACAAAATAAATCCCCTTAGATTTATTAGTCAGCACTGAAAAAAATCCCTTGAAATGTCAAGGTTGCTGTGATCTTTTTGTCCATTCAAACAGATCTGCGAACAAAACGTTGTCCTGTATGACGATTTATTCACAGCCACTTTACTTATTATAGTAAGTTATATAGCTGCCCACTTCTCAGTTGTGACTCTGGGCAGTAAACACAAGGTCAAAATCATGCAAGATCACTAAAGCAAAAATAAGAAAAGGACACTGAGCAAACCTCCATCCCTTCTAAAGCTGATCATGTTACCTTGTTGGGTAATGAGATGTCTGCAAGAAACCCACCAAGCTCGGAGAACACCAAGGACCCCAGAGTAAAACGACAGCCTAATCAATGAATTACCAGGAACAATCTTATTAATACTGACAGGGCAAGCCATCTGTATATAAACAGAGACTAAGCCCCTTCCCTTCTAGCACTGATATTACCTAGTTGGGTAATGAAACGTCTGCAAGACAACTACAAACCTCAGACAGCACCAGGGACTCTACAAGAGAACCACCATTTCCAAACTGTATTAACCTAGATCTTAAAACCAAGCTATCAATGCAAGATACCACTTATAGCTTTTATGTACACTGACAGCTTATGCACTGAAGACAAGTTCCTTGTTTGTCCAATCACACTTGGCCAATAAAAAATTCTATTCTATTCTATTCTTTCCTTATTCTATTCTACTCTTTCCTTATTCTATCCTATTCTATCCTATTCTATTCTATTCTAATTCTTACTCTATCCTATCCTATTCTTTCCGTATTCTATCCTATTCTTTCCCTATTCTATCCTATTCTTTCCTTATTCTATCCTATTCTTATTCTGTCCTATCCTATCCTTTCCTTATTCTATCCTATTCTTTCCCTATTCTATCCTGTTCTTTCCCTATTTTATCCTATTCTTTCCTTATTCTATTCTATTCTATTCTATTCTATTCTATTCTACTCTACTCTATTCTTTCCTTATTCTATTCTTTCCTTATTCTATTCTACTCTATTCTATTCTTTCCTTATTCTATTCTATTCTATTCTATTCTATTCTATTCTTATTCTTATTCTATCCTATCCTATTCTTTCCTTATGCTATCCTATTCTTTCCTTATTCTATCCTATTCTTTCCCTATTCTATCCTATTCTTTCCTTATTCTATTCTATTCTATTCTATTCTATTCTATTCTATTCTTTCCTTATTCTATCCTATTCTATTTAAAAGCTGTGGTAGTGCAATGGTTAGAATGAAATATTGGAAGTGAACACTGCCCACAGCCAGAAGTTCAATCATGACCAAACTAAGGTTGACTCAGCCCCCTACCATTCTGAGATCAGTAAAATGACAAGCCAGATTTTGGGGGGCGAGAGGCTGACTCTGTAAACCACTTAGAGAGGGCTGGAAAACACTGTGAATTGGTATATAAGTCTACCTGCTCTTGCTATGATGCAATGAGATTTTATTGATCGGCCAGCCCCTCAAAGAGTCTGAGGGGGAATAAATAGCCTACGGTCATCCAGCTGGCTTCCATGCCTAAGAAAAATTTATAATCTGGATTTCTGATTTGACTGCTTTTTGTCCTTTTCCAAGCTTCTTTGCTAAGGGAAATATAGGCAGAAAGTCCTGCTCAACAAAATCTGAAGAATTTCCAGCCATGCATAGTTAAGCAGTCTTGTTTGGTCCACATGTAATCAAAGTACAAATCTTACGTCCAACTTGCTATTAAAAACCTACCCCATGCCTTGGGATGAAAATCTCCCAGTTCCTCTTCCTCTGGCCCGTCCAAATCCTATAGAAAAAGGAAGAACTTAATTTCAAAGGGCAAGGTGGATAAACAGAATTTCAAGAGGAAAACGAGGAAAGAAAAAAAAATGTGCATTTTTTTTTCTCCTTCTAAGGGTAAAATACATCTTGAACAAGGAAGCAGAACCAGGTTTAAGATAAAGATAACTTGGTAGAATATTTATAAGGATGCTAGAGAAGAATGGTTATCCTGAGAAAATCTGGCTCTACTTCTTTGTCCAAAAAGGAGGAAAGCCAAGATCAAATTGATGAAGGCTCCGTTTAAAAAAAAGCCACAGGTCCAATAGAAGAAGAGGATATTTGGAGCGGAGGGTTGAACTGTGGATTCCTTGTTGCTGGGTTGTTTTCTCGCAAACGTTACATGACCCAACAAGGTAACATCATCAGTGCTAAGAGGAAATGGGGTTTGCTCTTCTCTTTTCTATCTATCTATCTATCTATCTATCTATCTATCTATCTATCTATCTATCTATCTACCTACCTACCTACCTACCTACCTACATCTACCTACATCTATCTACCTACCTACCTATGTACCTACTTTTATCAACCTAAATCTATCTACCTACCTACCTCTACCTATCTTTAATCTACCTTTATCTACCTACATCTGCCTACCTACCTCTACCTATCTACCTAAATCTATCTACCTACCTACCTTTATCTATCTACCTTTATTTACCTTCATCTACCTACCTACCTCTATCTATCTACCTATCTTTATCTAACTATCCATCCATCCATCCATCCATCCGTGTCTAGGGCAAGCTACCTGCCCAGGTAGTTCTCAACTTATGACCAGAGTCGAGCCCAACTCTTCTGTTGCTAAGCAAGATAGTGAAGTGAGTTTTGCCCCATTTAACGACCTTTCTTGCCCACAGCTGTTAAGTGAATCACTGCAGCTGATCAATGGCTTCCCCACTGACTTTGCTTGTCGGAAGGACGCAAGAGGGGATTGCATGATCCCAGGACACTACAACCGTCCTAAGTACATGCCAGTTGCCAAGCACCTGAATTTTGATCATGTGACCACAGGGAGGCTGTAAAGGACCTAACTGTGAAAAACGCTCATAAATCATATTTTTCAATGCTGCTGTTAACGGTCACTAAATGAACTGTTGCTAGTCGAGGACTACCTGTCTATAGGCAAGAGAGCAAACCCTTCTAGCACTGATGATGTTACCCATTTGGTTAAACCCGGGGACTTCAAACTTGACAGCTTTAAGACTTGTGGACTTCCAACTCCCAGAATTCCTACTCCAGTCATGTTAGCTCGGGAATTCTGGGAGTTGAAGTCCACCAGTCTTGAACTTGCCATGTTTGCCAAGACAACCAAATCTGCAAGGAAACAACCAAGCCCAGGGAGCACCAAGGATCCACAAGAATTTAGCCACCGCAGTCTAGGCCTGCCAAGGCATCCAGTCCCATAGAAACGACCTCATTATTCAGATTGACTTGACTTCCAGAACATCTTTACTGCTCAGATTCCTGGCTGGCCTGGGGCTAGAATCTGCCATCTTCTTTTTCAGCTGGGTCCTTTTCCATTCCCCTCTGTGTCTGGCTATAAATCGGTTTCTTAAGCCATCAGTCAGTGCTCAAGGGCTAGTAGGGTTTTAAAAAAACGGCAGGGATTCTGGATTTACACGTCAACATCAACTGAGGAATTGGAGGCAGGCAGGCCCCTTCGCCTCTAGAGCAGAAGACGACAAAGGGGCGGAACAAGAAATGCAATGTGTTATTCTTATTGTATGTAAGAATGTAAGCAAGCAGCCCCAGGTTTGCAGGACACACACACAGAGACACACACAGGGAAAATAAAAAGTGAAATTTGCAAAAGGTGAGCTGCCTACTTTGAGATATAGAATTTATCAGTCAACCCATCTGGAAAGGTGAAAGATGATTTTATTTGGTTTTTTTTTTTTTCCTCACGTCTTTATTTTCTTGTCCCAAGGCAGCAATGACCGAACGTGCTCTAAACCAGGGGTCGCCAACCTTTTGGACCTCAGGAACCACCAAACTCAGAATTTTAAATCCCGCGGACCAGAGACCCTGGGAAAATCCCCCCAAAAGGCTGCAGGAAAATTCCCCACCCCATTTTTCTACCAATCAATCGTTCTTTATTTGGGATCGCAGAATACCGTCTCCAGCTCCGTTCTCGGGGGGTGGGGGGGGAGAGAGAGAGAGAGAGAGAGAGAGAGAGAGAGAGAGAGAGAGAGAGAGAGAGAGAGAGAGACACTTTTGGCTTCATGCAAGGAAAACAGCAGAAGCTGCAGAAGTCTTTCTTTCTCTCTCCCAAACCGCCAGAAACTAGTCTTTTCCAGTGCAGCCTCTTGGAGCAGGAGGCCTTGCAGGGTCCCAAAGACTCATTTCTGGCGGAGTCTGGGGAAGAGAAAGAAAGACTTTTGCTGCTTTCCTTGCGTGCAGCCAAAAGGCAGGAGAAATGGAAAGAAGGAGCCCGGGGCCCAGGCCAGGCACACGTGGGGCGAATTTCCCCCCTCTGGCCTTTCCCCCCTCCCCTTACTACCTCGTGTTGTTTGCAATGCAAGCAACGCAAGCCACGCAAGCCTTGTGTTCCCATGGGCCATGTAGGCAGAGCAGCCTTATGTTCCCGTGCAGCCTAGATTAATTGCTTTGGGGATGACATTTCTCTGCGGACCATCAAAATTTTCTCGTGGACCACCAGTGGTCCCCAGCCCGATGGTTGGCGACCACTGCCCTGAACAACACTTTCTAATCCTTAAGAATTTTTTAGACATGGAAAGCAAGGTGAGAAAATGTTGGTATCAAAGATGCAGCCTATATTCTCACTACCATGTCTACATAAATACAGGTAGTTCTTGACTTATGACCACAATCGAGCCCAAACTTTATGTTGCTAACTGAGACAGTCGTGAACTGAGTTTTGCCCCGTTTCACGACCTTTCTTGCCATGGTTGTTAAGTGAATCCCTACAATTGTTCAGTTCATAAACATGGTTGTTAAATGAATCTGCTTCCCCCATGGATGTTGCTTGTCAGAAAGTTGCAAAAGGTGATACGGCAATAGTCATAAATAGGAGTCAGTGACCAAGTGGTCTGAATTTTGATCACGTGACCCCTGGGATGCTGCAACGGTCATTAAGTGTGAAAAATGACCGTAAGTCACTTTTTTCAGTGCCGTTGCGGCTTTGAGCAGTCAGTGGATTACTTGTATTGTAGATTCATTGCATAATAATGTTTTGTCCCACTGCTGTAGTTGGTATAAAAGCAATTAATACACAGACTGGACAGACGAAGAGAAGAAAGCACTAGGGACTATGTTTCCTGTCCTGATAATCTGACACATCATGCACTCTGCTTGTTTAGGTTTTATTAGTTATTCGGATAAGCAGCAGCCCCCTAGAAAAAGAAAGGCATTTTGACACCAGATCCCTAACCCTCTTAGGAAAAGAGACGCTTGACTTTACCAAGTCTCATCCTGTTGTGGTTTGCCGGCAGCAGGTGCGGACGGCTGAGGTCTCGGAGAGCGAGGACTCAGATGAGGGGCCTGCGTGTGATGCAGGGATGGGACCAGGACCATCAGGGAGTGGAGTGCTGCCTTTGGAGATTGGGGAGGCTGGCAGCAGTGAGGAAGAGGCCCCTGAGGAGCCTGTGCTCAGCACACGTAGGAAAGAGCAGCTGCAGCAACACGGGGGACTCGGGAGTAAGGCTGCAAGGTGATGGCCCCTCCCATAAGGGATAAAAGCCAGCCCTCGGAGGTGGGATTCTTTGCAGGAAGCAAAGAAGTTCTTGCCCTTCAAGTCCTCATGGAAGTTCGGTCTATCCTGGCTTGTTTTTGGAGACTTTTGGCTTTGAATATTTCCTGGCACTTAATCTCGTGCTCTTGGCAGCCTTGCAAAACCTCGACAGGGCTTGCTCTTATCTGGGACAATTAGTTTTAACAGCGCTTTGCTGTGAATGAGCAGAATTCACAGAGATGCATTAAAAAGCTTTTGCTTTTATCTCTGTTTTGCATTTGTTTGATTTGAACGAGGCTTGGGTCAGAACACATCCAAAGATAAACCTTGATCCCTGATAATGATAGGTCCTTTTGCGAGAAAACATCCCCTTCCTCCAGGTTTTATTTGGGACTTGGCTATCAGATATGCCGACATCTTTCATGACAATGGCATCTTCAAATGAGTATTTAGCCCTAAAAATGTTCATAAACATGACGACAACGACAATGGTGATGATGATATCCATTCAGTCGTGTCTGACTCTTGGGAGATTCTCTGGGCCACGTCTCTCCACATCTTCAGAAATCAGAATTCAGAAACAGAATAGCAGAGTTGGAAGGAACCTTGGAGGTCATCTAGTCTAATCCAACCCCCTGTACAAGCAAGGGACCTTATGCCATTTCTGACAGTCTCTTCTTGAAAGCGATGAAGCTCCCACAACTTCCAAAGACAACTTCTGTTCCATTGGTTGATTGTTCTCACTGTCAGAACATTTCTCCTTATTTCTAGGTTGAGTCTCTCCTTGATCAGTTTCCATCCATTATTCCTTGTCTGCCTTGGAAAATAGCTTGACCCCCTTTCTCCTCTCTGTGGCAGCCCCTCAAATATTGCTTCTGATCTTGCACAATTTCCTTGAGTTGTTTTATGCTCTGGCTGGTGTTAGCTTTGATCGTGTCCATCCATCAAGTTCTTTGATGGCCTGGTTTGCTTTTACCAGTAACTTTTCCGAACATAATTGCTTTCTCCAGTAAATTTCCCCGCATGACATGGGAAGTGAGGCGCAGTTTTGTGATTCATAAACACACTTTGCACAGTCCACTTTGCAGGTTATGCCAAATCCAAACCACAGGACCAAGAATAATGTTGACAAACGGATTTACGTTTAGAACATTCTTATATTCTAAAATCCTTCCATTCGCCACCATTCAGCCAGAGCTGAAGAAGCTTCTTGGATGAGAAGCGAAACATCTTCAAAGAAAAAAAACCAGAAAGTAGACCAAAACTTCCGG